TTAATGTGCAATAATTGCATTTAATATATTACAAATTTCAATACTTTACAACTTAAAATTTTCAAATTACATTTGAATTGATATATTATACTTAAATAAAATATGTGGAGAAATTATTAAATGTTCATTGGAAAAAACAAAATAAAGAATCAAAGTAGATAACTTGTTGGAGTGTATAAAAAAAACCACTCTTTAAATTTAAAGATACTCTCTATTATGCATAAGATACTCTTTATAAATAGAAAACATCTTGGAGATGCTCTAATCTTCTAAACTTGCATGATTTAAAGCTAAAATTTTACTTATACTTAAATTTTCACAATACCAAGTTTTATCGATGCTTATTTTCCATTGTTCTTTCTATAACTAATCAACACTTGAAGAATGTTTACACGTCTAGACAAGAAAGTTGACAACATTTATTTTTTAATACGTTTAGTTATAATATATTAAACGTATTATATTATATTAACCTATACAATCGCATTAACTACTAGAATTGGCTTTAACTTGCTTAAAGGATGCGAAATAGTAACTTCTTAACATCAGAAGTAGCTTTTGAGTTTTTTTAAAATCTTGTCATGACAAGAGAACTTTTTAAAAGGAACTCACCTAAACATTAGGTGTGTTTAAGTGCAATTTGAAGATAAACTAAACAAATGAATTTATGTCACAAAAAAGAGAAGTTAACGACAAAGCCAATCCACCCACGCCCTTTTGGAAATGTAGAAAAAGGAAAAGAAGCAATCCAGCTGTCCAATTTCACTTTAGTTTTGGATCTCTACACAGTTTGCTAGGATAGAAAACAATTATGCTACACATTCAAACTCAAATTCAGATGAGACACGTGTCGACGCATGATTTGACAGTTTGAAAAATTAAAACAAAAATACCCAATAATTTTTTGACACATCAGTCTGTTACTTCACTTCCCTGTTTTCAAGTCAGGACAGGTGGCTTTATTCAATAGAAAATGCAGTATATTAATAAAATAAATGGTCGACCTTTACAAGACAACAAATTTGATAAGTTAAATTAAACAACATTCGACATAATACGTATTAACTTGCAGAATATGGAAGAAAACAGAAGCGATCAGTTTGGGCAAACCTCGTTCCGATTGAGTTCTATTAGAAATTTGAACTCAAGAATTTTGTTGAATTAGATGTATGCGAATATGGTGTACAATGACTACAGCCATGGATGCACATAGCAATGGACGAACTAAGGTTCATCATCATAAGGTGCATTTGGAGCAGATGAAGATGAAATTTTGAGAATAAATTTACCATTGACTCGAAATTCAGACAGCACAGACGCATCAGCAAGTTGCTCCCCAAAAGAATTTCCTGTCAAGTCCAGATGCTCTAGCTTTCCTATAGAAGCATTTAAAATTTCAATTATGTGAAACAAGGAAGAATGATTTGAATTATAGTATTTACAGTCTACTTATTTTTTATAAGCACTCATATTCAAGCTAATCAGGAATTCTATTTAAGAAAAATCAAGAAATTTGTGTTAGGGACCTGCACCTTTGGTGACTTTCAAACTAGACGATATCACCGACAAAGATTCCATAGGCATAAAGTTATGTTGCGCATCAATTGCAACAAGTTCTTTGGTGTGCAAGATGAGCTTCGACACAAACTTTGCACTTTCAATCCCACCTCGGTTTTTGCTGTACCACGTTCATCACGTTATTAATCTATCCAACGTATGAACATATAGATGCAGATATGTAAGTATTGATATCAAATGAACCTTATATTAATGTAGACAAGCGGCATTTCCATTTTTATTTCTTTAAGTGCTTCCAGAAACCCAGATGAATGAAGTCCAATGTCTTCAATATCAAGGGCACGAATTCCCGTGCACATAAATTTTCCGAATGGTCTTCCCATCTTGCTGGAAGAAATCTAGCATTTAGATAAATGAATCTGTGGAATTATCAGAAGCCTTAGGAGTACAATTTCTTACTGCGAGTTACCTGCCAAGGCCATTGCTTCCAACTGAAAGCACATTTAGGGGTGTCTTCATGGTCGAAAGGACCTCTAAGAGCTGGCTCATTCCATCACAACTAAGCTCACAATTCTCAAGCTTCAAATCAGAAAAGGGCAAAGGTCTTCCAGACATCTCAACAAAGTACGGGATCAGACTCCTAAATATTATTATTGGTGAGTAAACATTTTATTAGAATTGAGAACAATGCCGGACTGGACCAGATACAAGATTTCCAAGATAAACACTGATAAACTACATCCAAACCTTCTAGAATATTAACAAACCTCTAAGGAGATCATATGCGGCTAAAGTGTGGACGGAATAAGAGAAACCTAACTTACTTGATTCCATCATCCTCAATAGGATTGTCACTTAAATCAAGATTCTGCAAATTAGGCATGTGAACCAGAGCACATTTGAGACAGTCTGCATCATCTTTTTGTAAATTATTGCTCCTGAAACATCAAGCAAAAATTTAATGCACATGAAACTTCAGATAAAATGGCCTCACTGCTGTTTGGCAATTGCCAATAAACTCATATAGGCATCATTCTATGCAGATCTGGCTTTTTATATTTTTGTCAAGAATATGAAGATCTCTTAGCAGGAATATTAAGTTTAGAAACCGATTGGTTTCGAAGAGATATGTTAATCATCCAACATTTGAAGACTTTAAAACTGAAGGATAAACGGAAGAAATGATCCAAAAATTTCTAGATTAACTGCAAATTCCTCCTAGGTAAACATAAAGATGTTTATAATCCCCAGATATATTCCTTTAACTCCCTCCCCTTCATCATCATCACTACCAGATCTCCATGGTTATGAAATCAGGACCAAAAAAAAAAAAACCCAATTACCAATATATCATTGGAATATTGCTATTTGCACCTGCAGGCCAGGTGTAAAAAATAGAGTCAC